CACACTTTAATTAAGCTGTATTTACTTGAGGCTATAATTATATTATTTTTTATTTATTAATGCATTCTACAATTCAATTTATTTAAATTCTCTCACATAGTTACATGTGTCATATTTCAATCAGAATTTCATGAAATCCCTTGCATGCATTGTTAGTTGAGCATCATTTGGCATGGCTTGTGCTAGGGACTCGACTTCTCCTAATGTAACTCTAGTTCGATGCCATCTTAACTGTTGGCTAGGATTCGGCTCTGTTTGGTTTGAATCAAACTAAGTAAGGAGCTTACAAATGTTGTTGCCTCGATGCGTTGTTGTTGTTGTTGTTGTTCCTCCTTTGTTGCTCGACAAGCTACATACATGATTATTTATGCATTGGGCCAGGCGCATGAGGTCAGCAGCATATGCTTCTCTCTGCTCGCTGTGCATCTGTGTGTCGTTGTGTGTGTTTGTGTGTGTGTGTTGGTTTTAGTGGGTTGTGTGTGTAGCTGTCTGTTTGCCGTTTCGACTTGTCATTGTATGTGTGTGCGGTCTCTATCTCTCGTCCAGTATATCTCGTCTGCCATTAAATGCTATGATTAAAGTTTCTCTATGCTGCGCAAATGAGAACTTATTTATCAACGGTAATTCTCATGAGTTTTGTGAAAATCATTAATCTTAAAGCTAGTTTCAACATTTATGCATATCATATTAGATGTCAAGTAATTGTTCTTGATGCTTCTTACTAATTTTAATTGTCGAGCACAGCTGGTGCAAGAGTAGATTACTAAATAGATAATAGAGATTTTTGTTTTTGGCTCAGCTTGAAAAGTGAGCAGCGAAGAACATGTTGATTTTGTGCTAGGTTCGAGTTGTCAGTACTTTGTAATTATCCAATGGCATTAATTAAAAATACCCTTTAAATGAATTTGCCTTAAGAGTGTATTTAGATTTTGTGGTATTTTGTGCATAGCTGCTTTGAATAAGATACTATTCAGTTTGATTAAAAAATATATTTAATCAATACTTTAATCTTCGCTCTAAGCAGCTTTAAAGCACATACAAACTTAATCTGCTTGAAAGCTTATATAAAGATACGTATTTGATAAGCTTTTAACTAGCTAAAGTCTTAAAGCTCAAACGTCCAAAAACTCATTAAAAAGAATATTTCTACGAACTTGTCCTTCAATCGAAGCTTAAAACTGAACATAGTTTAGTGAGTATTCACCTATCATTGTCAATAAAATGCTATAAAATATTCAATATATAAAATATAATATATAATAATATATTATTAATAAGTAATATAAAGCTGCAAAAACAATAATCTAGATTTGCATTAGATTTTGTGAATTCATATTGAAAATATTATAAATACGTAAACACATCAAGCTAACTAAACTTCAGCTTAAGCATTGTGAGAGCTTTAGAGTTCCACTTCAACTGAGGCTCTTCAACGTGCTTGAATGGCTTTGCAAAATGTAAATATTTGTGTACAGTAAAAAAGCAAAAGCTCTTTTGAAATCGAGGTCAATTTTACTGGATAGTCCACATAGTCCATGAAGCTCCCAATGAGCATATGTTGGCCATGTGTAATTCTTGTTTGCCTATGGCCAAGGTAATTAGAACGTTGGCGCCCATGTAATGGCTCGTCAATGGGTCAGCGGGAGGGGCAGTGTGACAGGAATAAATGTAACAGGAGTCGCCCACAGGGGCTGTTTTATGGCCAATTGGACGCTTAATGGGGTAGAAAATTGTTGAAGTTGTGTATTTATTTATTTACTTTTTGTTAACCACAAATACCAACGTCTATTGATTGATCAGGGGCTCTTGGTTACTCACCCGGGAACCCTCCGATGTGGTTACACAAGTGCCGCCGTTGTAGCAGCCGAGCTTGATGCAGTCGACATCGCCAGATTTGCCTTCAGAGCCGCCAGCACCACTGCCAGCACCACTGCCAGTACCACCGGTGGCCACCGTATTGGCACCGTCCGTCTCCTCACTGCTCTCGGTTACCTGAGACTTGGTCGGCGGCGCTACCTCCGGTTGTCCGGGCGTACTGTAGACATATATGGGCGGTGTGGGTGGTGGCATCGTCTGTGCCGACTGTGTGGATGGCGGAGTCGGTGGCACCGTAACTGCAGGCAAGCTGGCCACAGTTGGTGGTTCCGTGGGCAATGGTGTGGGTGCCGGGGTGACCACAGTTCTGGACGTGGTTGTCTCGCGAGGCGACTCGACGGTCATCAAAGGCGGCGCAGGCGGTCCCACCAAGTCTTCGGTTGTCATAGCCTGGGATGTGGTTATCTCCACAGGCGCGGGCACAGTTACTGGCGGTGGCAACTGTGTGGTGCCTGGCTCATATTCCGCTGATATTTCAGTGGCTGCATGAGTCGTTTGTGGTTGAGGTTCACGTGGGGTCGTTATTGGTGGCAATAGTGTTGTGGTTGGGAGCGTTGCATTGCTCTCCAGAATGGTAACCACAATGTGCGGAGTTTGTGCCGTGGTCAGCTCCACGCTGGGCGGCTCATAGTCCAGTGGTGCTGTGGTGGTCTCCTGCTGCACGGGTGGCTGCACCGTCGTAAATCGCCCAGCGCTGGTGCGATGTGTTGTGATGAGCACCTCAGCTGGATAATCCGTGAAGAATGGCGCCGCTGTGGTGGGCAGCTCGGTCCACAAATGTCGCGTTGTCTCCTCGAGCGGCGTCTTGGTCGGGCTCACCGTGGTCTCTGGCGGAAAATAGGGTGTCGGTGTGGGTGCATAGTCCACCGAGATGCTTGTCTCAAATGTGGTTACGTGATGCACATAGATGCTGCTGGGCGTGGTGGCGGCTATGGGCTGCTCCACCGACTCGGAGCTGCTCGATGATGCATAATCAACGGCAATGGTTATGCTGGGCGGCTGAGTTACAGTGGTTCGCATTGTGGTGGTGGGCTCCTCACTGGAACCGCTGCCGCTGCCGATGCCGCTGCCGGCGTCACTGCCGCTGACATCAAAGCGCCGCACGGTTGTATATTCCTCGGAGGTAATCAATTCCGAAGAGGTTTCGGCTGATGAGGAGGCGGTGACGGCGGGAGCCGGCATTGGGGGTAGAGTAGTGTAGATGCCGTGAGTTTCCTCGGACGACGAGGTGGAGCCTGAAGAAATGCCACCAGCCGGCGGTGTGGTGGGTGCAGGCAGTGGCTGTGCCTCGGCTGTTGGCTCTGGGGCCTCCGGCTGTGGTTGCGGCCTAATTGTAGTTGGCACCTTGTCTAAGCTGTGGCTGTCGCTCTCGGGTGGTGCCACTGTCACGCGGACCTCTACCAGGGTTTCCTCCGACGAAGACGATGAGGACTCAATTGGCGTCATGGTGGTTACGGCTGGTGCTGGCGGTGTAGTGGGTGGTGCACTTGGGGCCATGGTCGTTTCTGGTGGTGTAACCGGTCGCACAGTGGGCGGTGCTAAAGTAGAGGAGGCCGGCACCGACGGTGTTACGGACACCGCCGGTGGTGCAGCTGTCGCCGGTGCAGTATAGTTGCAATCGAGCGATTCCTCACCCACCATCAGGCATTCGCACAGCATGCCCGTCAGCAGCGGCGGGCAGGAGCAGGAGAAGGTATCGACGCCGTCAATGCAAACGCCTCCGTTCATGCAGCGCGGTCCCAGCTGACACTCGTCGTATTGGAATTCGCACTTCTCGCCGTGATAATCTGGCACGCAGTAGCATGTGGGCACATTCTCCTCCATGAGGCAGAGGGCATTGTTCTGGCATGGATTGTCCGCACAAATGAGTATCTCCTCCTCGCAGTTGACGCCCGTATAGCCCATGGGGCAGGCGCAGGCATAGGCGGCCAATTTGTCCACACAGACGCCGCCGTTCTGGCAGGGCGAGGAGGCGCATTCATTGATCTCCTCCTGACAGATGCGGCCATGCCAGCCCGCCGAGCACTGGCAGCTAAACTCCAAGCCGCGGCCCTCAATGCACTCGCCGCCGTGCTGGCAACGGGCTCCAGTGCCTGTAACCAAGGATCACAATGAGTGCAAAAGCGATTCGGTTAGCTCCCACAAACCGTGACTTACCCGTGTCGCAGACGGCCACATCCAGTTCACAGTGATCCCCCAGATAGCCGGGCTGGCAGGTGCAGGTGTAGCCATTGTTACGGTCACGGCAAAGTCCGCCATTTTGACATGGATTTGACATGCATTCGTCCACATTTTCCTCACAATTTGAGCCTGTTCGTTCATGGCGTTGACATTCGCGTGCGATGTGACCGAAAAACAATGAGTGCAAGCGAATCAGACATATATAGAGGGTGAGAGAGAGAGAGGGATAGAGGGAGAGAGGGAGAGTTGAGAAAGTGACATTAATTGATGGCACCACAATGTGCAACTTGTGTACTGTTTCATAACGTTCCATTCCATGATATTTCGTCTCGTTTCATTTCGTTTCGTTTCAGTCAACAGTCTCTGTGTCCTTTTTAATTAAAAATTTATGTCAGTTGGTTAAAGTTGTCGCTTCCAGTGTGGCGTGTAAATGGCTCATAAATAAAACTTGTTATTTTTACTCGCATCGCAAATGCAAACTTTATAGTTGAGCATTGTTTTCTTTATGCATTCCCAATACATTTTTCATGTGCACACAACTTCATGTGTATTCAAATCACTGACCCTTGTAGCTCTGCTTTCATCTCCACTACATTTTCATTCAATATAAACAAAAAAGCTTTCATTAGATCTGTTTTCATGTGACCAGAGCTTCAAAGGAGCTGCTGTCCTCATTGCTCTTCACTTGCATAGAGAAAAATCACCCCAAAATCCAAATATAAATTTTGCTTTTCAATTAGTGCATCGATATATTCCATTCAAAGTATCATTCATTTACCCCGATGAAAAAAAAAGTGTAGAAAAAATGTTGAAAGCCTTTTTTTTTCAAGCAACTCTTAACTAGATGGCTACAAACAAATGCATACCATCGAAGTGAAATTGAATGACTTTTCATTATATTAAGCAATGAAAGAGCTCTTTTTTCCACACTCTCTCACTCCCACTCACTCACTCGCTCACTCTCCCTTAGCATCCATTACAACCTTATATAACGCTGTTTGCTGCTCTATCTGACATCGCACAGCCAAGTGGAAAGCGCACAACTTTTTCGATACAGGCGCATCGTTGGCAATCAAAACAAAACTTCAAGTGCTGATTTTGGTGCATCCAATATAAACAATTCAAAAGTACACACACACACACTCTTCGACATATCTATATATAGATATCTATACGCCCTTTAACTGATGACTGTCAAGCATTCAAATAGCAACAAATTTCTAGAAATTTTGTTAGCTGCACAAGACGAAGTTGTTATGCTCTAGCTGCTCTTTTTGAAGTTTAATGCATAATAGAAGTTTCGCTTTGACTCTGAACTAATAGAAGTTTTTCGTTAGCAAAGAAAAATTTAATGTAAAGGGAGTTTAAGCTGCCACTAAAGACAAAAGTAAACTAGTTACAAGATACAAATTTTATAAACAAAAATCAAAGATTTATTTTAAAAAATCTTAAACAATATAAATATATATTTAAAAATCTGAAAATTATAAAAAAAAATTTTTAATGTACAAAATACTAATTCAATTTTTTTTTTTTTAAAGAAATGACAAAATAAAATCATTAAAACATAAGAATAAAAACTTAAAAAAAATTAAAATCTTTAAAACATATGTCTAAAATAAAAAAAAACACGAAAAGGTGTAAAGATGTAAGATGTAAGAAATAAATAAAAAAAACTCAAGAAAATATAAGTTTAATAAAATAACTAATAATTAAATTTAAAAAAGGGCAAAAAATTATTTTTTTAAAAATATATATATAAAAAAATAAAACAGAAAAAATATGCAAAAAATAAAATTCTGTATTAAATTCTATCATAGAAGAAGGGAAAATGAAATTAATCCGAAATTTTTGACTATTAAAGATTAAATTATGCAAAAGCTGCTTTATTTAGGCATACAAATCCGACATTTGTATACAAGGAGAGAGACATATATTTAGATTTATATATCAATTTCGAAATGGGTTCATTTATATATAAAAATAAATATAGATATCCACATCAAGTGACCATTTTAGTCAAGTCAAGGATATGTTGAGTATGCTTTAACAAACATTTATAGAGCTTTGGTTACTGAAGAAATCTCTAGTTGATATGTTTGATATGGTGCTATATTAAACAGTTGTTATGCCCCTCAAGTTAGTTATTTGTTACACAGGACGCAGACACAACGTGAGCAGCACAAGCAACACAGCACGAAGAACAATGCTTGAAAATACTTTTCAATTTTCTGCTCAACAACTACAAAAGACGCTGACGACAAGAAATGGCAGCGGTAGAGGTAGAGGTAGAGTTAGAGGGAGGAAAAGAGCATGGAAGAGAGGTGAAGAGTGCGCCGTCAGTGGTTGCCGGTGGCAGCAACTGACGGGTAAGCAGACGGACGGACGGACGAAAGGACGGACAAAGGCAACAGCAGGAAGTCTTTGGTAGTGTTGAGAATCGCCCTATTGTGTATGCTATAATTTTCGTTGCGTTGTTTGTGGCACTGGCAACAGTGCGTATGAGTGATTTTTTTCTCAGCATCTCAAACGTTCGTGTGTGTGTGCGTGCGTGCGTGTGTTTGTGTTGCAAATTTATTGCTCGCGAAATGTTTTGTCTGCAGTTTTTTTCATTTTCTTCTATTTTTTTTTTTTTTTTTTTGAGAGAATTTATTTGGCTGCCTCCTTTTGTCGGCCCGCATCTAGATCCTTTTAGTTTTCTATTTTGGCAACAAGTTGGCTCCAAGTTTATCCTGTGCCAAAACTTTTGCCTGCTTCGTATCTTTCAAGTGTCTGTGCCTCCGTCTGTTTGCTTGTCTGTCCCATTTGTCTGACGGACGCAGAAAACTTGTACAAAAGCACTTCAAAGTGTCGAAACTAAAGTGTCAAAAAGCCTGCACCGTCGCCAGCAGCTAGCAAATTCTTTGGCTGCACTTTGTCTAAATTATGGCGCGGCAACTTTTTAATTCAATGCACTGAAATTGCATTCATTCGCAGTACAATTGTCAAAAGAAACGATAAAATAAATGAAATACAATATAATAATGTAGCGCTCAGGTGGGCAAAGGGCGTGGCAGCAACAATTTATCACTTGTGCTCATAAATAACACAAAATACACTGATGGACATAAAAATGTAGCTATGCAGATGCACACTCATAAATGGCCAGACCAAAAGATAAATGTCTCTCTGCTCGGTGTGGGAATTTGTGGGTGTGTGACTGTGTGTGAGTGCGAGCGTATTTTGTTTATAATGCAACTGTGTTGCCCCTCTATGCAGTGGGGGGCAGTGGGGGAGCGCCCGCACAGACGAACGAATATTAAATTTGCATAAGCACTAAATCAACACAATGAACAAACTGTGTCAGAGCCAGCTGCAGAATACATGTAAAGGAAGAAAATAGAAAAAA